ACCTTGTTTTTATTGTTTAGCTTTTATCCTTTGTTTAAACTATACGGTTACTGAATGTTTGTAATTTAATAAATAAAATTGAAAAAACCAGAATGTCTTAGCTATAGCCTTTAGACCCAAGCTTTAACAGGTTAGGGTTCCAAAAAGTTGCCCGCTGATTCACGTTGGCAGTGATGAAATGCCTTGTATGTTGCACGCTTGCCGTCAATATAGGAAATATATAATTAGTATATTTATAATTTATCTCCTATATCAATATATATTTAAAAGAATCGGAGGTACCATGAATAAAGTAGTCGAAGGTTTTATGTGTTGACTCCACAGTCCTGGTCACATACACATCAGCACTGAAACTAAGAAATCTATGGGTAAACTAACAATCAGCATTTGTGCACTCAGTCAGCCTCTGGTGGGGAGCATCCAGACTGCACCCCAGGGGACAGAACCATCTCAGCAAGCCATTCCAGGGGCTGCCTTTGTGAATTGGCATCTTGGCTGTCTCAACAGGTCCAGTTAGCCTGGAGTGACATACAGTGTAGGCTGCTACAGGAGTCAGTCCTTAGCCCTGTGCTCTTCAACTTTTTTATGACAAGCTAGAATGAGAAGATGGAGGGACACGCTTATCAAATTGGGTCTTTAGAAGACAGGAGAAATTCAAAATTGTTTCCATTCTGCATTAGTCAGAATCCCACCTCAAGTATTATGTCCAACTCTGATTTTCATATTTTAAGGAGGAGTCAGACAACTGGAACAGGTTCAGAGAATAGTAACAAGGATGATCAGGAGATCAGAAACCAAGTCCTACAGATAGACTGAAGGAAGTGAAAATATTTAGCCTTAAGAAGACATTCTTCAAATCCCTAAAAGGATGACATACAGAAGAGATCTTTACTGTCTTCTGTATCATTCCAGAGTGCAGGATAGTGAATAACATATTTGTTACAAGAAAGAAAGTTCTGTCTGAATATTAGAAAAAAAAATCCTAGTACTGTGGAACCCAAGAATAGTGTAAGTTGTAATCTACCATTACCACACGTCCAGAATAACAGGAAGTAGCATTATATTTGAATGAAGAATCCGAATGCTTTTAAAGAATATGTTGCCCTTGCTTGCACAAATCATTAAACCCAAAATCTTCAGATTCCTGGCTTGCAAAGGCCTTCTGCAAAGATGGTTAAACAAACTAATCACAAATTTGCCAGGATAAAATCATGCATTATTTCCAAATCCTGCCATTTAGCTTCATTATCAAGCCAGAATTCAAAGGTAGCAAGTCAAACTTGGCTTCCAAGCTGGTTAGAGCAATGACAAGCCAGGAATATATGTAATGGTTTGCTCAAACTGGGTGTCTTGCAGATCTTCAAATCCTAGAATTCCTCAGCCACCATAGCTACTGCTGAAAATTCTGAGAACTGAACTCCATGCATCTAGATCAATGTTCTTCAACCTTGGCAACTTTAAGAAGTGTGGACTTCAACTCCCAGCATGCTGGCTAGGGAATCCTAGGAGTTGAAGTCCACACATCTTAAAGTTGCCAAGGTTGAAGAACACTGATCTAGAGGGAGCCAGGATTGCTTCAGCAATTGAAAAAGATAGGAAGACTGCTCCATTTCTCCTCCCTGCTCTCATGTCTACCTTGGAATATGATTTTTGTCCTGTCCAACGGTGCCACAGCTGTTTTGGCCACAGCACCAGCCAATGCTCCAGACACCAAGGAGTTGATCACACTTTTTTTCTCTTTAGGACTCTGGAACAGAAAACCGGAACATGTTAGAGACAGAATCATGCAACAGCCAAGTAACAGCTAGAGCTGTCCCTCAATGAGCCATCTGCTCCTTGCTTATCAAGGATTAGAAACAGCACCTAGTAAGCAAGGCCAGACATTTTTTAATGGAAGTAAGAGAAGTTTCCGTCCCTTTTAAGCCAGTAACAGAAACTTTGTACATTTTCTAGTGGGAATACTTAGTAACTTTTACACAACAATCTTCACTGGATTACTGAATTACAGTAACACATTTTCTGAGTTTGCATTAAAAAAAATACACAATCTAATGAACCATAAACTAACCATGTAGGCAGGGTTTGCTCAGCATACTAAGCTACAAAACACCTAATCGAGGGTAACCCTAGCCAAGTTTTGCACATTATATGAATGCAGCCACTAAGTCTTCAACTGACCTGAGTCTGGGTCTTCAGCAGGATTGGGATGCACAAAAAAATAAAAACAGAACAAATTCAGAGAGCCATCCATATAGAGTAAGACTCAGACTCAAACCTGTACCCACAGGACTTAAACCACAAGAGAGGGACAAGAGAAGGGGACATGTAGGAGCAATGACCCCCATCTCTTTGTTCAGGAGCTATTCTCCATGTTGCAAAGCTGCCTTTGGAAGTCAAGACTATTAATCTGCAGAAAGCCTTCTCAGTCACGGCACTGAAACTTTATCTCCCAATGCATAAATTGCATGTGCTGTCTGTTAAGCAATGGTATAACCCTGCATGTAGTTTTAAGGGAGAAACACTGATTTTTTTTTTAAATGTTCTTTTGTTGCTGCTTTTAAGCTTGCTGCTCATTTGCCTTTTTTTTTTTTTAATTGAGTTGCTTCATGGCTACTATAGTTATGACAAAGCAGGTCCCAACTGCTCACCTCTGGAAAAATACGTCCATGGAATCTGGTCTCCGCATCTTTCTGTTTTAAGCCTACTTGACCTTCCACCGCTCTACCATTATCCATACCAAGCTCAGAGGCTAGCTAGGAAGAGAATTGAGCCTCCTGAGAAGAAGAATGGAAGGGGAAAGACAGAAAACATTGACATTAGTTTTTCAAAATATTAAAAATCAATGTGACAATCAGTTTGAATCAGTCCATTTTTCACTGCCTCCTCCTTTTGCTTATTTCCATCGTTAATCCTGTTTCTTTTCCTAAAAAAGCACAATATATATTTATTAAATTTGTATGGTCACCCATCTCAAATGCATGAGTGGGTGGTGACAATTAAAAACAAAAGAAAAATAATAGACTAAAACTATAATATAAATATAAGGAGAACTTCCAAAGTTCTACACAGATCACAGAAGAGAGGAGACACACATTTACTTTGAGATCTTCCCCCCAACCCATTTACAAAAAGATACATACAAACATAATGATGGCCGGAACCTAGCACACCACAGGCAATGTAGCTCTTTCTTGACCATCCACTTCTCTATTGTACCTTGTTTTGCAACAAGGAATTTCACTGGAAAATTTTCCCATCCCGCCCTTTTCATTCTGCATCCCTTTTTCAGTCTACTTTATTTCTGGCTATGAAGGATTTGGAATGAACAGCTGTCAGGTTACAAATGTTCCTTTCTGTCAATAATGCAGAGCAAGAGAACACATCCATCAGGGAAGAAACTGGTATGAAGCTCAAAGATAAGGAAAAAACAGCTGGAACAAGTTCATCTCACTCCTTTTTGAGCTAAAGAGACTTCAACAGGGAGAAGGCGACCTTTCTTCCCCCTCACTTGTCTCAAGTGAACAGTTTTCAAATGAGGTTTCTGGAGAGTCTAAAGTCTCTTTAGAAACTTTTAACAGTGCTTACACAAATTGGTATTGGCAGATGGTTCCCCTTGAAGATCAGCTGTCTCCCAAACAGAGCCTTGGCCACAGCCTTGGTAACCACTTTTTCACAAATGATATTGTTCCTTGGATATTTTAATTAATATTAGTCTTTCATTTTAAAAAGCCTCTAGCATCCTTTTACTTACATAGGTATACTAAAAAGCATGCAAACAATACAGTATTCTATTCATTTATTCTCTAAGAAGGCAATGAAATAACTTCACACGATATTTGTCTGATTACATTTATGTACTCACTATTCTTCAACCTTATCATCTTAATTAATGCAATCATTTTTACATATCTGCCAAAGGAACACATCACTTTCCCCAACCTAACATTTTGTAGAATACTAGTACAATCTTTCCCTGCTATTATGGCCTAAAACACCAGATTGGGATGGGCAGAACAGAACTTCCCCTAAATTTAAGATCCAGAATGGGTAGCAACTAGGAAGTATCTTTCTTATGAAACTGCTGTTCCAAGACATTCTTGGGCAAAAATGTGGCCCTGCAGTAAGCCTCAATCATAGTTGTGCTGAAAAGGATATGCCCTCATTCATAACCAACAATTGATTAATTATGTGCCATCAAGTTGGTGTTGATTCTTAGCGATCATAAAGATAGACTTTCTCCAGGACAAGTTGTCTCCAATGTGGTCCTTCAAGTCTTCCAATGGTGCACCCATCACCACTGTAACAGAGTCCATCCACCTTGCTCCTCTTCTCTTTCCTTCTATCTTTCCCAGCATAATAGACTTTTTCAAAGATCTAAGTCTTCATATAATGTGTTCAAAATATGGTAATTTGAGCCTGGTCATTTGATGCCTGTAACTAATTTTCAAGGGACTTCTCCAGAAGACTAAGGTCAACTTCTAACAATATTTTTAAGAGATCCACTTACCAAACGATTCTCTCTACCTTTAGCAGCAAAATACATTTATGCTGCATTTAAACTTCAGGGGCTCATTAAATGCAGGAGCTGCTGCATTTAAACTTCAGGGGAAGGGGGACTATTTAAAAAGTTGGGTCTTAAGCACCTAACTGTCCTGCGTTTAAATTGTATTCTGTTATTCTCTTCATGCACATCCAAACTGTACAGGTCTTCCTCCTAAACAAGTGTCTGGGAATGCTACCCAACATACTAAAAAAAAACCCTTCAAATGAATCTCTGCCAAGGGAAAAAAGAAAAAAAGAAACATGGGTGAGAGTTGAATGCCCTGCAGAAATGAAGCATCAGCCTACAGGCTGTTAAATTGTTTGCTGTTAATTCCCCTGTACTGTGGGCTCTGTAACAGGTTTAATCTCAAATATAGAATATATTTGTGTTTAAGATGCTTCTCAAATAATTATTTGAAACATAAAATACAATAATAATTCCTTCCTGCCCCAGAATAGAGAGAGTCACCTCCCAATAATTCAAGCTAAAGAAATGAATTTTAAAACAAAGCATAGATTTTTTTTTTAAAACCCACCTTTCTTGCTTGAATGCAGCTTTGTATTGCAAGCTTGAGAGTTTCAACCAACTTGTCCAAAGCTAAACCCTTCTTAATTCCCTCAATAGTTTGACGAAACAAAGCAGCTCTTGTTATTTCAAGTTATTGCAGTCCGAATGAAGATTATAGAAGCTGTTTGTCCACATTTGCCTGTCCCAGTGAGATTAGACAAGCATGCCTGCCCTTTAAAAAAAAGTAATCCAAGATGAGCTGCTGCATTTAAACTTCAGGGGAAGGGGGGCTGTTTAAAAAGTTGGGTCTTACACACCTAACAGTCCTGCATTTAAATTGTATTCTCCTGTTATTCTCTTCATGCACATCCAAATTGTACAGAATTTGCTTATATCAGATTGGAATGCCACATAATAGGACCGACATTCAGGTTTTGCACACGAAAACAAGGGAGCTCAAATTTCCTGCAATGCACATCTTGCTGCACCAACTTGCTTTCTCAGGATTTCACTTGCTTCCCACACCATTATGCCCCAACTGCTCAGTATTCATTTACTGTTTAGGTTGCTCCTGCACTAATTAAAAAAAAAAAGTGTGGCATTTTTGTTAAAGATATACCAGGGGGGAAAAAACACAAGATCTCTACTGAATCAGATCAAAGGTCTGCATAGCCTGCATTCTTTTCAACAATGGTCAACCAAATACCACAGGGAAGCCTATAAGCAGGACACAAATATAATAGCGCTCTCTAATTCAGTGTGGACTTGCTGGGAGCACGGATGGGGAATTCTGGGAGTTGAAGTCCACACATCTTAAAGTTACCAAGTTTGAAAAAAACTGCTCTAATTCATATTCCTCACCATCCAGTATTGAAGGTCAGGTAATACACAGTCGTGAGTCCTGTATCTTGTGTAGACATATTGTAGCCTTATACTTCACGGGTTTGTCCAATCTTTTTAAAGCCATCCAGATTGATTACCATCAGACACTTCCTGGTACAGAAATCCATATTTCAGCCATGAGCAATCTTATGTCTGTCTTGACTCTCTCACATTCAGCTTGGATGACACTAATTCCTAGCTGGATGTGTCTTCTCTCGGGAAGAAATCACTGGCAGAATATTATAACACAAGATACTATCGTAATGTATCGTTCAAACCATAGGAGAATGATATCTTTTTATTGTGGATATTTTTGTAAATGGAATACTGTTAAATCTCCCATTCACAAAAAGAGCCCCTGTTCCACAGGAAGAGCATAAGACTATAGATCTTCACTCTGGTTTGCAACCAGATTATCTGCCATTCTCATTCTGATTTTCCTAGCTCTTATTACAAAGAAGGCCTCTTTACGTGCAGTAGATGTGCTTCTTTCTGGAAGAGGTTGGCATATAAGTATAGTTTTTCAGCCACCCTGATGTTATCGAGGGGTTCATTATATAATGAACAGCTTAATAGATAACGAATTAGCTATTTCATTCAATTTTCTCAAGCTGCTGTTCAATTCTGACCCTCCTGTAATGTCCTTTGAAGGCTGCCATTAGCATTACTTAAAAGTCCAGTATCATAAGTGCATTCCTTAAAGCTGACAGCATAAGTCATAATGTCTTGCTATTCTTTCCTGAACAGGAACAGCAACATCAGAAGTTGAAAATGAAGACATTTTGAGTTCTGTTTCAGAGATCTGGACCCAAAACCAATGGAGTCCAATGAAAATAAACATTGTCATTTGACTCTTATTTCTGCACCCTGGGTTAGTTGGCTGTCAACCAGCAGTCTTGTTCAGGATAAAGAATGCCCTACCAGGAAGAGAATAATCAACAGATCTAGTTTGACAGCTGTGATCTTTCTGCACAGCAGTTTGCCAATAAAGTCATTCAGTGTCAGCCCTTTAAAGCAGGCTAAGCCAAGAAGGCACCACAAGAAATATTAGGAAGCTTGACAGCATTTCCCCTTTCCTCCCTCCTATATCAAAGGGAGTCAAGGTGGGGCAATCTTGAGTTTCTTTCCCACTCTTTGTTTTCCTAGGCTAAGCTGATGTTTTACTAATGATCCCTGCATATTTTCTCCAAGGTCATCTCTGTGTTCCTCTACACTCAGATTTACAAAAGTCTTGACTTTCTGTGAATGGAATCCATGGTAGTGATCAGAGTGATATTTTGCCATGTTAACTGGGATCCTGTGAGCTCTGAGGAAGCAGATGGGATGCTCTGTGTTATGTCCTGGCCACTTGCAGAGAAGATCCATGTCTTTCCTGGCTCCTTTGGTGGAGGGAGGGATGGTTCAGCTGGATCCAGAAAGTGAACGATACCTCATTTTGAGAGGGGGTGTATATCCTACAGACAAGCAAGGCTGCCCTCTCCTTGTTCCAGCTATACTAGACAACTATTCTCCTGTTTCCAACCATTCCTTTCTAGGGAAGGTTGCTGAGACTGTGAGAGGAGGGCAGCAACAGAGCACCCAGAGGAAGGAGATTATCTGGACACTTTTCAGTCAGGGTTTAGGTCTAGGTACTGTATGGGACAGAAATCACATGCTCACTGGTTGATGAGCTCTGTCAGGACTTACTTAGATGGGGGAGACCTATTCTGGTTCCCTTAGATCTCTGTGGCAGTTGGGGGCACTGTGCTTCAGTGGCCCCACTCCTTCCTCAGGACATGGTTCCAGGCAGTGGTTATAGAGGATCAGTCTGGCAGCTTTGTACATGTGGCGTGTCGCAGGGCTTGGTTCTCCTCACCTCTACTTTTTAACATCTACACGAAGCTGCTGAAAAATCTCATTTGTCAGTTCAGGATGCAGTATCATCCATATGATGATGATGATACCCAGCTGTCCATTGACTGTACTACAAGAGCAGTCTGGGGTGGCAAAGTCCTGTCCCAATGTCTGAAGGTAGTTAAAGAGGAAGGTACAGGGTGAAGCTAAATCCAAGCAAGATGGGGTTACTGTTTGACTATCAAGATTCCCTGCCAGCTCCACTGTTAGCTCCTGAGGAGAAAGCATTGTCCCTGTGAGAACAGGCCCATGTTCCCAGCTATTGCTCAATGGGCAGGAAGAAGTCCTCGCCAAGAGGCTCTTTGCCTAGTTTGGGCTGGTGCACCAGTTGCCGCCTTAGCGGGAGTCGGAGGAACTTGCAACAGGATTTATCTCTCATTACTGCCCATCTAGGCTACAGCAATGTGCTGTGCATTGTACAAAGCACAGTGAAACCCCATATCTTACTTGGCACAAGATGCCATAAGCACATTACCTCTGTACATTAGGCCCTGTGCTGATTGTCAATAAATTTTTGGGAGTAATGGTTTTGATCTATAAAGCCTTACATTGCTTGGTGCCTCAGTACTTTCAGCACTTCCTTCTTCAGTTAGAATTAACCCCTTCCAATAAAAATATTCTGGCAAAAACTACTTGTAATCCCCCATCAATGAGATATTGGGAGGCTCAACTCAGAGAGAGATACTTCTCTAGGATGGTCCCCACATAAGGAACAGCCTCCCCCACAGGAAATTAGACTTGCCCAACCTCATTAGCATTCCACCAGCAGGTTAAAACGGAGCTTCTCTAGAGGGTCTTCAGTTGGTTAACACCAGTGGTATTTTATAGAATTATAGGTAGTCCCTGGGTTAAGAATGCCTGGTTTACAAATGACCCCTAGTTAAGAACAGAGCCTATTGCAGCAAAATTCAAGTTAAATATACAATGGTTCGAGTTAATTACACAATACTACTTATACAGTATTATACAACAATACTGTTCCAGCTTACATACAAATTCAACTTAAGGACAGACCTTGGGAATGGGGGACTACCTGTATATTCCTCTATTTTAAGCGAGTTTTTATTTTTTATATATTATATTGACAATGCTGAGAATTATACAATTGCAACCATGTGAAAATCTAAGAAACAATCACATAATGAAAGGGCAGGGAATTCCTGAGACCACTCCCCCCAACCTCCCCCAGTACAGCAATGGGTCATTAGTTTTCCTGGTGGTAGGTGATGCTGAACACAAGGGGAAAGGATGGTAGGGAACATCAAGGATGTTGATCTACTATTGGTGGTTTTGTTTTTACCTTGACTGATTACAGGCATGTTGCTGTCTTTGCTGTTTTATGTTCTTTTAATGGTGTTCTTAACCATTGTTAGCCACCCAGAGTCATGAATCTGAGACGGGCAGCCATATAAATTGAGATAATAAACAAACCCCCAATACTGCCTGAAATTAACTTGCACTAATCTTTGGGAGGGTATCAACCCTGATCAACCTAAGGCACAGGAAAGGAAAGATGTGGGGAGAGTGGTCTTTACATCGACATACTTTTCTCCCAGCTCGAAGGACAGAAGAAAAGCACATTAATGTGACCGTGAGGAAGAGCCCATTATCAGCAATAGTTCTGTTCAGATGTTGGTGCTGATTTACTGCAAAGCACTTCCTGCCTACTAGCACACATACAAGCCACCTTTCCTTTTCTCAACATCATCTGTCAAATGGCCTACTTTTCAGGGCTGTTTGTAAGCATTCTGGAAATATCCTTAGTAAGTCAGCCTTCTGAACCAGCAGACAGAAGTTACATTACAAGGCATTATGCCACTAAGCAGAAATTTATTTCCGTTGCTAGCCTTCTGGATCCAATTCACTACTACTGGAAACCAAGCAACGAGCTATTCACAAGCCAGCTCCAAGCACCATTATTTTCATATCACCAGGAATGAGACAGCCGAATACATAAGCATAGCTTGGTCTTAATAAGAGGCTCCTGTAAAATGTTGAAAGGGAAACCAAGGCTAACTTTCAACATGCACGTGTCGTATTGTTATAAAATCTGTTGCAGACTCAAATGCGTACAGAGTCAGGCCTATGGCCAAAACAGGGAGAGCATACAGGTCACAACGTGCAAAGGCAATTAGAAAAAGGTAGGGCAGAAACAAGCAAAAAAAAGTCCCATAAACAGAGGAAGAGAAAAAATAAAATTATTCACGGCAAACCTGATCTCACATCCGAGTGGCATCATCAACCTGCTGGCAAAACAGACTTGGTGTGTTTCCAGATCCAGTTTTTTTTAATTATTCAGTCATCCTGCCTCAATCACAAATTCATAAAGGAGCATATCATCTTCTACTTGTAATTCAGTTTTAATTTGATCTGTTCTTCTTCTTAGGCATGTATATAGGGACTCTCTTCCAGAAGAAAGCAACAAGGATTATATAACAGCAGCAGCAACAAATAGTT